CTGAATGGTTCACAATTTTCCCACATTTTAGGATTAATATAAAATAGTCTTTCGCGTTCTATAAAAATTCCCGAAAAAACATCCGGGATTTCGCAGATTTTGCTCTAAAGATAACGGACTTAGTCTGAAACTCGTGCATACTGCTCATTATCTTAAGATATTTGCTCACAACTTTGGAAAGTCATATTTTACACATAGCGCTTCCTCGCCTAACACAATTCAGGACATAAATATTAAAGGAAGTGTGAAGGAAATAGGCAGTTGTAGAATGGGAGTCAGCCACTAAACGCTACATATGACGGTTATTGTGTTTGATTATCAAACTATTGCCACGTAAAGAAGCCATAGCTTTTCCGAACGCATTTACAAAATAGGCCATTTTCCCAGTTCACAAGGGTGTGGTCAGCAAAAATGTTTTCGGGGGTTAAGCCTCGGACCCTCTGCTGTCGGCCTCCCCTCCAATCTTCCAACCCTCGCGACGCCACTGGTCTGGAGCACAAGCTACCTGTACTTGCGCATCATGTATATTTTTTGTATTTATAAGAACCAACAATTATTCCTCCAACACAGTGCTCCCGAGAAAAATGTGCAATTCTTAATTTTCCTTTAAAAACCATGGTGAAGGGCAAACAGCATGCTCATTATGAGGCTTCATATACTGATATCTTTAATTCCCTACGACAAAATGTGAATGCCACACACTTAGCCTGTAGCCCCAGTCACACGATCCAACATATCACCCAACATTTTCTCGCGCAGATCGAAAAGGGACTGGGTAGGAGTTCACGCTGAGGGCTGCATAGCCTGCGCGCAGTCTTTTGTTGCTGTTGCTGAACGAGGAATGGACATTTCCCGTATGTCCAACAAAAAAATCCAGCAAAAAAAAGACTGCGCGCAGGCTAAAGGCTGCACAGTTTCGCGACATTTCGATAAAAAAACGAAAGGCAATTGCCACCGTCTCTGTTTATTTTCTCTTCAGATATTTTCACGGTCATCATCAAAGGAGTGGCGTAAATTCGGTCCCCTGCGCTTTGTTGTAGCTCCCCAGTGCTACAATCTCTTCATTGGTACTTTATGGCGCTTCTTGCACATAGAATTTCATTCAAATGCCTCACGAGGCAAACGATCATTCCAGCATTGCACAAAGTTTTGACACTAGAAAAATGCGCAAAACACAAGAGACCATCACGATTGACAAAAAATAACAACCCAAGCAAAGGCCGAGATAGCTACATATTTTGTTTGGGGGGGCAGACCTGTTAAATAAGTGTAAAAACAGCCATATTTGACAAAATAAATACATTTTATTTATTACACTTGGGTTTTTTGGGTGTCAAGGCCCCCCGGCATCTCGGTCTTTGAACGCAAGTGAATTAGCTAAAGGATATTCGTTCCTGGTAAGATCAACTTTGATTAAATTTGACCATAAACCTCAACGGGCTACCACCCATTCCAGACCGAATGCTCAGTAAGAAATCGTACCAAACAGGAAAGGTATAAATAAAAGTGGCTAACTTCACTTACCAGAGGATGAAAGATCATGAAGATAATGAAAACCAGTCGCACACTTTTATCAAGTAGTTCGAATGAACAAGACTAAAGATGAGTATAGTATAACATATTGAGAAGACATATTTCCAATTGCAGATTATGGAAACTTTTTTTACCAGATATAAAGTTGTTGTAAACAATTCTGATAACTATGCTAATCTTTTTTATGTCGAAATAATAATTTACCTAGGTTTAGTCAGCATAGCGGTCAAATCTTTGATTGGCTGAGAGCTCTGTTCGCTGCCATGTTTTAAGCCAATCAGCACACAGGATTTTCACAACAAAACCGCCTCGCAGCTAGAATTAGGCCCATTTTCGCCATTTCAGCGTGTTTTTACCACATTGTCTACAAAAAACATTGCATGCCTCTACAAAGCCAATTTCCACTTTATATTTTGTCCAGTTCATCATCATGCGTTGCTATTTAACCTATATTGGCGCCACTGTTCGATCGCAAAAAATAATATAAAAAAACACCTCGCAAATGATCGGTAAATTTCGTGTCGAGATTCAGGTTAATTAGGTTTTTACCTCATCACATAAAATTAGTAATAATGGTCAATTGTCTGGACAATCATGATTGAAATTACTTTGGGCTGTTGCTGAAAATTTTTCACTTTTATGAAGCAGATTTTGATTCCAGAGGACAAAGATACATTTATTGATTTCGAGGGTGAATATGAGAGCCTTCGTACCGTTGTGATAATTAAATTGGCGACCCCCGCCGAATCTAAGGCTGAACAGTGAGTGCATCTTTGACGGGATTATGAACCATTCCTATATTTAAGGTAAGTATATAATTGATTTTGTCTAAATGTGAAATGTCTATAGCGTTTTGGGTGGGGAGAGGTAAAAACCTAATTAACCTGAATCTCGACACGAAATTTACCGATCATTTGCGAGGTGTTTTTTTATATTATTTTTTGCGATCGAACAGTGGCGCCAATATAGGTTAAATAGCAACGCATGATGATGAACTGGACAAAATATAAAGTGGAAATTGGCTTTGTAGAGGCATGCAATGTTTTTTGTAGACAATGTGGTAAAAACACGCTGAAATGGCGAAAATGGGCCTAATTCTAGCTGCGAGGCGGTTTTGTTGTGAAAATCCTGTGTGCTGATTGGCTTAGAACATGGCAGCGAACAGAGCTCTCAGCCAATCAAAGATTTGACCGCTATGCTGGTTTAGTCATAACTTAGAAATATAATTTTTTCCTTTGTTCTGTATTCTGTATCTACTAAATTGTAGATTATAGTCGCGTGCGTTCATTAGCTTTAGCATTAAGCCATCTTTTCCCTGCAAACTTTACAGACAATGATAATTATTATAATAATAATAATAGTCATACATTTTTTACCCTTTATTTGAAAGAGACCGAAAACTAAAAGTTGCATTACTAGCCAACTTGCTCACTCTGGCTGCACCAACATTTATTTTCGTTTAAGCCTTAAATTATTGTTTTGATTAGAATAAAATGATAATAGCAAAAAGTGATCTCAAAAGTTGGAATATAAAATAAGAATTTAGAAAGCAAAAGGTTAGAATATAAAGAGAACTCGTGGAGCGTTGTGACAGAATTATTCAGCTTTTTGGGCAGAAGATTTTGAACACAGATATTGATTTCTCTAGCATTTTAAACACCCTTTTAGACATTTAAACCAACTCCCTCGTCCAACTTGAAAGAATTTTAGCATCCTTTAAATTTTATTTTTTTAGCGTTTTCTTCAAAGTATTTTCAAAGCATCCACCTATTTTCAACTCTGTTATTTAAAAGATATTGCCAAATCCGGGGCCGTGAGGTGTGGGGGTGTGACACCCCCTTGTAAATTCCATTGCAAAACGAGGAATTTTTGTCATGTAGATGTGCTTCGTCGGCAAATTTTGTGACTTGTTGGCAAAAAAAAGAATGGCTCACCCACTTTCACGACAAATGAATCCTGGGCCCCCTTAAGCACAATAGCAAGTGGCAGCCCCAGCCAATCAATCGACAGCTTCGTCTGGGGAGGGCGATGAAGGGTTTTGTATCATAGTAGCGTGAGAATCTATAAAGACGCGTCAAAATAAACGCGTTTTTAAATTTGGTAGAGGGACTTATTTCAATTGGGTATTTCCTTTCAAGTTCGGTTGATTACCGCATTTACTGGAGTGAGCGCCGCGGCGCTCTATTAATTACCGGTACTTTTGATACGGCGCTTATTCGGGGGCGGCGCTCTTACGTGGGTGGCACTTTTTAAAAACCCTGTCATTTTTTAATAAAACAACCAAGTTTTAAACAATCATTTAATAGTATAACATACAAGTTTGAAAATACCTTTAAAGGTTCATAGAATTTCAATGTCACTGTCGTCTTCACTGTCGGAGACCAACTGAATGCCAACCATCGTTGGAGATGACTCTGCCAAGGCAAAAAGACGCTTGTTGGTCATGTTCCGGTGGAATTGTCACGCTTGATGAAAAATTTTCTCGAAGCCAACACAGAAAATAACCTGGTCGCACAAGTTTCAGGAAAAATAAATTGGCCTTGTTTTTCCAGCAAAGTTCTCTGCTTTCACGACAGATGTACACATTGCCAAGATTCTCAAGAGAGAGTTCAATAAGAAAACTTTAAAATATTCTCACTTTGAACTAAGTGTGCTTTGATACATGAAAATAAATTCCCGAGGTTGATTTAAGATTTGCAATTTTTTTCCTCTTTGACCCTGACGATTCTTACAGTTTTCGATTAAGCGCCGCATATACAGTTCTGCTCATTCGGAGGCAGCGCTCTTTAACTCTATCTATCTCAAATGCGGCGCCCATTCGGGGGCGCCGCTCGTACGGGGGCGGCGCTCACTCGAGTAAATACGGTAATGGAAATGTATCTTCTTCCTTTTTTTCCTTTTCTCAACTTAAATTATTTCTATCTCCCTGAAGTTGTGTTCATTCTCTTTTTAAAGATTCTCAACCTACATGATTAAATGAAGAATACAGAAACTAAAGAACATTTAAAAGCATGATGTACCAGATACAACATCTGAAATTATTCTTTGAAAAAATAAAATGTGAAACCGGTTTTTCAAGGATTCCTCAAAACAGTGATGCCGGAGCACGGGGGAGCAGGAGGGAACGGCTGTTCTCCTGGCCCTGGCAAATGTAAGCAATTTTCATTATTTTGCTAGTGTTTTGCTCTTTTTCTTAGGATTCCGCCTCTCCTGCTCTACAGCTTTTCCGGCATCTCTGCCTTAAAAGAATGGTTCTATCAGTAGATAACTACGCACATTTTTCAATACGATGCCCTCCACACTCATTTTAAAAACTTATGAAGTTTTGATACAAAAATCAACTTTTGAAACTTTTTGAAGATTTCAATGTTTTATTTATATTCTCAAACTGTAAATTCCCTGCATTTTTAACTCTATAGGTACTCGCAACAAGTATGCAGTGGCTGGGTATATGGGTATAACAAGGGTATCGTGTTCAGAAACTCACTAAAAATATTTATGTATCCAAATGTGGTGAGAAATTATTTATCCAAATTAAGAGACTCACGTAGAAGGAATTTCGAAAATCTTTTTATAAAAAGACAACTGTGATCAGTGAGAGAGCACTTTAATGTTAAATTTTTGCATTAAGTATTGTTTCCAGATTGAATGAAAATGGTTCTGAGACCAGTCTTTCATGAAGCAGTCTCGATCTCGTCTTACCCTATTCTAAATGAGTTTGCTATTATAAGCTATTAACACGAACTAGTTAACATTAGATTTCTTCTTAGTTATTCGTATAGTGAGCTTTAGTTGGCGCATCAAACATCTTTCAATTTTCATTAAGCATGATAATAGCCTCGCTTCTCGCAGCAGCCTCGTTCATGGCAGTGCTGCCTCGGGAGGTGGTCAGCCAGCACTTGCTACGCGTCTAGGACACCAGAAAGCATGGAAATCGTCTCTAAAAGATGCAAAATAAAATTTATTACACTTGGAAGAGTTGCGTTTTAAAAGTCATGATCAAGAATATTGACAGCATAATGAAACACTTGATCGCTAGATGTGCATTCAAAAAATAAATCTACCTTAAAAAGGTACTGGTGCAAAAATCCTTCTTGTCTAAATAATCATGTACTTTACTAGTTGCCACGCTTAATAAAAAGCCCAGGAATTTCAATAGATTGTAAAAGAGCCATAGAAGTATATCTCAACGGATAGAATCCAAATATGACAAATCTTCATTAAATGCTTCCAAAGAGCCATCTGTATATATGCATTGCAAAATTTGATAAACCAGACAGAGCCAAATTGGAGACACATATACAAAAGGCATTAGCCTTTATTTTCATAGTCTGGGTACAAGAGGCTCTCAGCCCCTCTAAGAGGTCATATCGAGTCAAACAGTCGTGAATGGCTGCAGAATAAAAGCGGACAAAATGGAGAGGAGAACAAAAGGCCATCTCCCGCTCCTCCATTCTATCTTCTCCCTCTGCTGTTGGACAAGACTATTTGGTACCAAGGGTATTATTATAATTACCATCCAAAGCGGTTAACTCTTCAAAGAGTTTGCTTGAATCTTCATCCAAGTTGATGCTGATGTCATTGCTTGCGCTGCAGAATATAGATAATAAATTCTTTAGTTTTATTTCTTGCAATTTCTTTATTACTTAGACTTATATAAGATTGACTTGGCAACTGGACAGAACGATCACACCATCACAGCTTTTCAGGGTCTATCTTATCCATGTATGTTCAGAATGTTGGGTCAAGACAATCGAGTAATGGGGCAAGATTTTTGACAATGAAATCCTTCTTATCAAGGTTATAAACAGACATAACTGTGTTTAGAGAACAAATCTGTCGTTAGAGATTTGGAATTTTTAGAATCCGCGCCCGCTGAATAGAAACTGCGATGAGCCAGGACGCAAGTTTCTTGTTTCAGCAACCACAATGACTCAAGCCACCTTATATGAACGTTAAATGTTTTCTGGGGTCGCTAGAATTTCTTCCAGCTATTCTAGAGACTCAAGGGAACCTAATGTATGTTAGGCATTATAAATTTGACAAGAGACAAGATGCAGCGGTAGCTGCTGGTGTTGCGTTTATCAATTAATACCGAGGCACGACTGTATAAGCACAGAAATGTCTATTCATCGAATTTGCATTATAATGTGTCTCAAAGGGAAAACATAAAAATATGAGAAGCACAAATATGAAGAAAAGTCGAACTAAACTATCCACTAATAATTGACGTTAATAAACTCAAAGGTAGCTGCCTGAGCCCCAATGCCCTGTACTCTTGAAACCCAGTTATTAAAACACAAATTAAATTGCATCCTTTTCTGACAAAAATTCAAAATTTCGTAAATAATATTTTAGATAAAATAAGTTCAAATGATGTTATCATCCGTTTGTTTAAAGGATTTATAAATGAATAACATTAGAGTCATAACAAAGAGCTAATTCCTATTCTGTGCTACAAGCAAAGACCGCGGAGCATATAATAGATTGAGGGGACTAAAACATGATAAGAACCAAGAGCAAGAAAATTTTTTGTTTGGTTTTAAGTAAATTTTGGAAATTATCGAGGGGCTTAGGCCCTCTCAGCCCCCCGTTTCCGTGGTCCCTGTCTATAAGTGCAATATTAACCATGCGTTACATACCTTTCTTTCAGATGTTCCTCTAATTTGACAATTTCTGTCGCAAAAACAAACACAATAAAATTAATCTTTAGGTAAAGGCGATATTCATAGCCTGAATAGCTAAAACTGAATGCTTTCGTTCTTAATTCTAATTAAAACTATGCCTTTACTGCCAAAAAAGGACAAGAGGTATTCATTCTCGTTAACAGGAAAGTGTTAACTCTTTCTGTAGCTCTGTAGTTTCATTCCTTTACGGTCAAAATTGAGTCTCCTGTCCGATACAGATTTCTAACAGTAAAATATCTCTTACAAAAGTATCCAGTGAGAACTTGAGTGTTTATTTCACTAACTAACCTTCTTCATTGTACAATGACAGCTCCTCATCTTCTAACTGCTGTTGCAAATTTTCAAATTCTTCGAAAACTTGTTCACTGAGCTCTGCAAAAATATAGCAATAATATTAGTATAGAGGCATGCGAGCTTTTACGGTGTGTCTATGATAATTGCATAAGCTGAAAATTAAGCTACAAAATTAACAATAGGAATCAAAGCATCTGTTGAACTTAAGCGCGGGAATCTTTCTATTTCTATTATTCAAGCAATATTTACTTTAGCTTCAGCTCATAACGATTAACAACCAATTTTTAAAGAACTTTAGATAAAAAATAGAACATTAAACTCTCGTAAAAAATATACAATATCTTGCGATAGACATAAATGATTTTACAGTGCGAATCCACCAATGCTTTCCATATATGAATCCCCGTGTAACATAAGAAGCTTCCAAGCTAACATACCTGAGCCAAGTTGCAAAATATATGAATTCAGATACCTTGTCGATTAGATGTAATCAAATATAGAACTCAATCGCCAACGAAGTAAATTACTACTCAGTTTTACAAATATTCATGAAAAAAAGGAATATTGTAACAACATTTAATAAAGAAGTAAAAAAGCTGTTTTTCCATGGACAGCGTTGGAAAATCCGACATAGCACTTTTGGTGTGCCTTCTCAATAGCAATACACTCTCTGGCTTACCATTTTCTTTTAGGCCCATCAAATGGTCAATGACGTCATCACTTTCCTGTGGCACTTCAGATACCATATTAGCGCTTAAGAATGGTTCATCAAGTTTGACTGCAAGGTGAAAGATTAAAGACTCATTCCTAACAATGAGCCTTTGCGCGTGTAGTGAATCGTCCAAGCGACGATACAAACAATGGCAGTAAGCTTCTACGGCTAGCAACGCAATGGCTCATTGTTAGCAAGGAGTCTTTTTCTCGAATCTTCAACCCGTGAATAGTAAATTAAATCAACAAATATAAAAGAAAACAAAACACTTATCACTGAAGAATGAAGTCAAATGAATTATATTTTGCGGTTGTTGAAACTCTATTAAGTATTTGTCAATTACCTATCTTCAGGCTGTTTGGACAACCACATGAAGTGCTAAAGATTTGGAGCATTTAAGGCCCCGTTCACACTATTCCGTTTTTGAACAAAAACGCATCTGTTTAGCTCCGTTTTTGGCTTTGCGTTCACATTAGTCTACCCCAAAAACGGAGCTAAATGAAAACGATGATAAAAACGGAGCTAAATGAAAACGGAGCTAAACAAAAACGCAACTCTGTATTGTGAACACCAAAAACGGAACAATTTGAAAACGCTAACAACGCCAATATCAGAAGCCTCGTTTTCAGAAAGAGGAAAACAAATGCGTTTTTGAGAACTAGTGTGAACACCAATTAATAGATATCCGTTTCTGTCTGAAAACGGAGTAGTGTGAACAACGAATCGTATTGCTGCCAAAAACGAATCTAATCGAAAACGGAGTAATGTGAACGTAGCCTAAGATTTGGAGTTCCACTTTTTCAAGTTTTCAACATTGTTACTCAAGCGGCTGTTGATTTCTGTTGATCAAAAAGAGGAGAGCCTATTTCGCATCCCGTAAAGGATTCTTGTTCATAAAGAAGTCCTATTAAGCATCGAACGTTTTCATGTATTGGCAACAAATCACAAAACTTTATGAGTTTCTGTTGGTCATTAAGAAACTTGATGGTGCTTCAAGAAAAAGTTGTGCCGTTAACTATGCGTAAATCTCCAAGAAGGAATCATTATATAAGAAATTAAATATAATATCTTTCAAAAAGATCTTTATTTTGCAAAAGTAAACTTTGCAATTGTGACATATTTGTGTTTTGCACTTCACCTCCTGAGTCCAGAGATAAATTGACTTGAGTGTTCATCATTGATAATATGATATCGTCGTCTTGGTCACCGACGTTTGCTAAAGATGAAAGCTATGAATTATAATTTATGTGTAGCCAGCTGATTAAATACGAAAGTTCAAGGGATAATAAGAAAGATTAAAGAGACAGAGAATGGCTTAGGAATAGGAGTAATAAAATTTGCGGAATGCAAATGTTTTGCATTGCAAACAGGACCTTGCCTAAATTCCTGATAAGCATTTCTAGGTTCAAAGCACAAGAGTTTGGTAGCTGCAACCTCTTGGGCGGTTAAGCCCTATCGGAATAGGGATTACGTTTTGAAAGCTTCTCCAAACAATGCATTAAAGATGAAATATTAAAGTTAAGGTATTAGTCTCGTCTTTGGAATATAAACCTATACTAGCTTACTTTAGCCAGGTGCTTTAGAAGATGTTTATTATAATATTTAAATTTTTAGAACCTTAGCATTTAGTAAAGCAAAGCACTTTGAGCCAAAAAGCAAACACTTTCTTCTGCGTTTAATGGTGTGAGAAGGTACCTTCCAAATTAGATGAAGAGAAATGTGAATTCTGTATTTGTATATGCGCAACATCAGTTTCCTGACTTGCGAATGATACACCATGGTCAACAAAATCAATTATCTCCTGTCTCTTTTTGCTTTCTTCATAACTCTGTATCACATGCACGTCTGCAGTTGATCTTTCGTCTAGTGATTGCTGATAGCTCGTTGTTTCTAATGACTTCATGTATTGCTCAAACCGAAGAAGCGTTCTAAGAAGATGGACAGAGATTCAGGTGTAAGTAAAACAGGGCCTATAATATCAGATTTATAAAGTTCCACAACTTTCTGTAAAAATTAGGTGTGGTACCTTGCTGGAATTGGCACAATGGGCGTGGCATATATAGAAACTCTTTACAATACATGGATCGGGTTAATAAGAAAATTAGCAACATATATTGACGTCAACAGAAAAGTTGTCGAAAGAAAAACTCTTTTACATGGTTTGTTCGCATCTCCATCGAAATTATTTTCCTTTTCTTTCACCTTCAAAAACTCCCGTGAATCAATCTTGATTCCCTGTCTTTAGTGTTTTTGGGTTATTGAAGCCATATCTTTGCAGCTGTTTACGGAACTCGAAACTTGCGAGATCAAACATATTTATTGCAATGTTGGAAATTCCCCAACCGTGCGAGTTCTTTCGCGATAAAAAACTAATTTGGTAAAAGCATCAAGCGACTTTCATGCGAATTCAAACGTAACATTTTACAACTTAACTGAAATACGATATTCGATATGACTTTGACCTGATTATGAGATTCTTGTGGTACTGTCTATAAACAACATAACAAGTTTGAATAACAGAACAAAAAACGCGGGTTAAAGGTCCTCTTATATTTTCAATAGCAATATTCATATATTTGTTAAGTGTTTCTGGAGCTATGCTGATTTCCCCACTTATTTCTATCTTGTTGTAGGTGGGAATCAGCCTCTCTACATCGTCAGAATAAGAGTTTGCTGCAAGAATGCAAGCCAATACCTCGCCTGGTAGAATTCCTCTGAGAACAAATCTTAGATCTCTGTAATCTTAGTGGCCTTTTTCTTAAACATCAATGCATGATTTAATGAAATTTTGCTAAGTTTTTGTCCGGGAAAAAAGCTATGTGAAGCTTTCTTAAGACCCCTTTACACTGTGCCGGATAAATTTTATCCGCATCAAAATTAGTTCAGGTAGGCGTCGCGTTTACACAAGACCTACGCTATCCGCACGAATCTGAGAGCGGCTATCCGAACAAAATTAGTTCACCTAGGAAAGTGGATTAAATTAGTTCGGATAGCTATGTGGTACAGTGTAAACGGTTTTATCCGGATAAATTTTATCCACATTGTATCTTGCTCGAAAGCGATTAGCTATTTCTTCCTATTTTGTGTTCACTGTCTCCCAATCAAGACCTTACGCCATCTTGGTTGCCTTGTTGTCGATAAACACTCGTGTTAAAAGTGCAGTATCTTCGTCAGTCCACGTAAAATTGGAATCCTTGTCAGCTTTCTCTACTTTCGTTGCTAGTTCAGGGTCATTTTGTTTCAAGAACAAACTATTAAAACAAACTAGGCCTAATTTGTATTGACAATATCTTTGGATTTGGTCTAAAAGAGAAGCAGATGATTCTGAAAATAGAATGAAATCTTTTTACGTTGGCGGGAATTTTGTTATTATTTTGTTGCGCAGAGAAGACTTCATTTTTGGCGTTCTGTGCATAATTTAAGTCATGTGACTGCAGTTATCTGGCACAGTGTAAACGGGAGGGCAAAGTGGACAAAATTTGTGCGGCACAGTGTAAACGCAAATCAATCCGAACAAGTTTTATGCGGATAAATTTTATCCGGCACAGTGTAAATTAAGTCTCTTTTTGCTTATGGGAAGTTTTAATTGCATTCATCCATCAAATTCTTTGTCATCAAATCTTTGCTTCAAAATGTTTTGATACTTACGACATCCTCGTTATGGATAGCAAATAATCTCTCCTCTCACTGATGTACAAAATGCTGATCAAATGAAATTTTATCAGAGTTAATTTAACGAGGGATGTTGTAGAATTTGATTTCACAAGAGGTTCTTATTTTAGATTATTGGTGTTATTCTCATTTGGGTGTTAATTGTCATGCTTCAGTTTTGTATTTAAGTCCTTATGTGCTTCTTTGATGCCATTGGGAATAATAGAGAAGAAGGAGTTCTGTAGTTTGGGTTGCTGCAAGAAAGTGTGGGTCCCTTGACTCAGATGGGTGTATTTAATTGCTTTGGATGGCATTATCTTGCTTACTTCGTATACTGTTTCCACGCTGTTCTCTCCTCCCGTCCCTCCCTCCTCTTTTGATATCAAGCGTGGTGTGTTTCTTCAAATCCTTATTCATTCTATTGTATTAGGCTAAGGCCTGTTTACATCACGGGATTCATTTCAAAGTTCTTGTTATTTTTCGTCTAGGAAAGACTACGCTCTTAATTCAGTCATGTTTTCTCTTCCCCTGTTATATCTTAGGTATGTAAGGTAGGACTGGTGCATCGGCTCTATTGTGGGGAAAAGTGAACTTTTCTTGTCCCTTTCCAGAACTTTAAGCTGCTTGTACTTGAGTCTATAAATATATCAGAAGTTAGGTTTTTTGTATGGGTTAGGTAAAGCAGCTTTTGCCGATGCACCAACGGCCCAACGTTGCTTCCTGTGATGAGGGAATGTAGCCCCAAGACCTGATTTGAAAAAATTTATTCTGGTTTTCTCTTCTTCTTCTTATTTTGCATAGTTTGAAAGCATGATCTTCTAGCTGCCACTAAGAAGCTTATCATCATTCATCTGCTGTAGCCTTGAGAGGAATCTTTTCAATGCTTCTCTAATTTAAAAGCTGAACTCCTTTGCAACTTTTTCTGAGATCTACTGACAGATATAATATAAACCCCAAAGTACATTACGGGCAGGAAATCATAATTTCGCAGATTTCGGAAAAAAACGTGGTCTTTAGGCTGAGTGTATTTTTTCAGGTAAGTCATAAACGCCAAATAATTTGAGATGGTGTCTTTAAGTTGAAGCTGTATACCAAATCCATCTTACTTCAAAACAGTATGACACTCTCAAAAAGCGCAATTGATTTACCGCCGCATGCACCGAAGCTTCGAGTTCTGAAATTTCTTAATTCTTTTTTATTGTCCATTGCTCATTTATTAAAGAAATTTTCTTATAAAGATGTGTAATACATAAGGCTGGGATTGAGTCCTAATTCTTAGGCTTTTCGATCAGTATTTGATGCTGCACTTTTAAGAAAATGCACTATTTATCAATCCACATTTTCTACAATTACAGTTCCACAAATTTAATTTAAAACTCTACAAAGTGAATCAGATCCAAGCTTATTTTAGGCCCTGAAGTTAAAGACCTTAAGCTGTGCTCAAAGTCTTTCGGGTGCTAAAATTTCAATGACACTTCTTTGCTTTATTTACAATGCTTGCCAAAAATATTGGAAAACTGAAGTCGGTTTGCAAGTTCAAATTCAGCCATCCCTTTCTTCCCTAAAAAACATTATTGGTATACTATAAAACGGGTTAAGGGATTAGGAAGTACCATTTCTATGGAAAGTACCTTATTTTGCGTTTCTTTTATGATATGTGCCTAAACAATTGTTCTAAGGTTTCTTTAACAATGTGCATCACCTTACATCGTTTATGATCTTCCTAGGAAGTTTACTTGTTATCGTGTCAATGGCTTTGACTTTTGAGTGATAAGAACCGGCCTTGCAGTGGTTATTTAATGAACATTATTTTTGCATAAACGCTGCAAACACGACTTCTACCGAAACTTCACTGATACGTCATTTATGCAGATGGCTGAAGCCATTAGAAAATGATGAAGCAGCACTCTCCTTTAAACATCTACTTTGGAAATAGGCCAAAGCTTTTGAATGACAACCAAAGATTTTCGAAAAATTGCTCAAAGAATAGAATGGACTACATTGTAAATATAAGGCTTGTGAGTGTATCTGTCTGAAGAATTTCCCTGCAGCACTATCATCTATTTAATTTGATTGTGCGTTCATTTATCCATAAATATGCTCCTTACAATGTTTAGTCTAGATTTTATAATGTTATGAATATATGTATTTACTAGGAAGAGAAAATTTAAAATACGATGGTCAAAAGGTCAGATTGTTGAAAAAAGAATGGTCTTACAGGAGGCAATCACAAAGGTTTGTTTTTAAGATCACGAATGAAATTTCGAATTACTTTTGGATAATACCTGGCCATTGAAAAATCCCTATTACCATCTTCTAACAATATAACATGGTTAATAGGACTCAAGACAGTATGACTTTTCTTATATAGTGACGTGTCTACCTCAATGCAGTTTCAATCAAAAACAAATAAGCTAAACCAAATCAACTAAGCATATCCTTTTTAAAGAAATCGATGAATCTTTTGCTTAGATTCGTAATCATAAATCTTTGCTCCTCACCAAAGGTCTTTCTGCAAAGTTTGATAAAAAGAGCTCGTTAAAGACTCAGTACATTTATTTTTGTCTGTCACGCAAATGTTGCGATTTCCTATACTTATCAAAAATGTGATTAAGAATCGTATTTTTGTGAAGGAAAGTGTCTTCGTGCAGCATACGTAACAGGTCGGATTGGGATAACAGAATCTTTTGGTTTAAATTAGCTTTTTTTGCTTTGTAAACGTGAGCCCATCACTAGTCAAATAATCCACGATGAACAAATTACTTGCAGGTTGTAGAGTAAGGATAGATGTAACTGGACAAGAAATGCTAAGACGTTATAGCTGTATAGCCCAAGAGGCTTGCGAAAGTTTTTTTCACTATCTTTTTAATCAGTGAGCTTCCAGGCCGGTACCCTGGGTACCAGACTCACTATATATGAAATAAAATAGAGAGTCTGGTCTAGTGCGCCCCATTCTCGTTCTGGTGTGCTGATATTAACCAATCAGGAGCGAGTGTACAGATTTCTGTACGTTCAAAGGTCACAGCGAAACAATAAACTTAGCTCTGGTGTAAAACATTGAACAGAATAGAACATAAATAAATGCTAGCGACCGTAACGATTGAGTTTGAAGATGCTGTTAAAACTGTACTCAAAGAATATTTTCCGCATGTTGTGGAACTGAAAACAGAACAGCATTGAAAGCCTTGTTTGTAAAGAAAAGAGACACCTTCGCCATATTGCCAACTGGCTTTGGAAAGTATCTGATATTTCAGGCTGTGCCTCTCGTTGCAAAGAAATTAGGCCTTGTAGTGAAATGCAGTAGATAAGAAAGCACCGCAAGGCGCCGAGAACAAACAACAACAAACACAGTTAATCAGTTATAGCTAATATTTCGCCTGGCATACGGGGCTTCGCTTGTCGTATTGGCCATATTTGCTGTGGCGGTGACCTTCCAACGTGATGATTCTAACCGCCGCGGTGTCCAAGCGCGCTGCCTTCACAGTGAGGAAGTAGACGTTCAAAGTACACACAATTTATGAGGAAAATTACAAAAGACTTGTTTTAAGTTGTATACGAAATTTGATAATGATTTACATTTAATAACTGCATTGTGCTAACTTTAATTTCATGCTTCGCACATGATTTTTGCTGCCAAATGGCGTTTTAAACCTGATTTGATTGTTATCTTGAGGCAGAAAAGTCTATTATCACTGTATTAAAAATGTCGACTTTAAAGAACCAAATAAAACACATTTGCTTTAAGATTTCCCAAAACTCCTCTGACTACTGAGTTTCTTTGTTATTTATCTGACAGTCTTGTTTCACAGGCCTAGTCTGTTAAATAGACTTCGGTTCTTTCAAGTAAGTTCACCAGAACGAGAATGGGGCGCACTAGACCAGACTCTCTATTATTTTATATAGTGAGTCTGGTACCCAGGGTACCAGGCCGGGGAGGGGGGATATTCAAGTATAAAATTTAACACAAAGAAAACTATTTCACCTGCCAATAGAGGATTTCAATGACCAACTATAAAGATCTTATTGACCAGCAGAAGATGGGTGGGGGAGAGGGGGAATTGTCACATCCTCTACACCCCCGCTAGCTGGGCTCCTGTTTTTAATGTATGCGTGTAAAGCCGTAAAGACTAGTTCTTGCTAAAGATAGTGCAAAATTGTATTCTCCATTATCTACAAGCAGAATTGGCAAAGATTTGACATGGAGGTCGAAGAGATAAACGTTAAGCATTGGACTGGGAAAGATAGATTGGTTAAGCCAATAGCAAGAAAATGTTATTGCTTCTAGTTTGGTCTATTTGGGCAACATTCTATTTGGGCATTTAATCTATTTTGCTTTTTAACAGTGTTCGATTTCACAAAACACTTTGAATTCAAGTAAGGCCTAGTGGTGTTTGTTAATCTGGAAAAGCTTTTTTTGACGAAAAAAATAAAATTTCAATCCATTCTCCGATGATGATGCTAAAGCGCGTTTTGTAATGATATATATAAATGATATTCTGCTGATATTGTATTCATTTCATATTAACGGTATTTATTGAAACACAATCCTTCTGCTTTGCTGCAACTGAATAAATTATAAACCATATTTACCAATCTAATTAATTTCAAGCAAACTACACTGAAAATCTTTAGTTATGATTCACCTATAATTATTATTACTATTAGCTTAGTATAATGGTGAAAACTTAGAAAAGCTATCTAGCAAGGCGCTTTACTTTCCAGGTTTTTTGGCAAAAATAATGCCTCGTGAAAGTGGAATTCACTCACCTTTGGTAACATTTTTTCAACGACAAGAATTTTGAATCAGTATTTGAACCAGTAACTTCTTTGCAAATGCTCTGCCAGTTCTTTGACTTTGATGCCTGACAAAGAAACATTAAAAACACTTTTACTCAAATAAAATAAAGTATTGAAAAATATTTATAAATAATCAAATCAAACATTTATATTAAAGGTGGACACAAAACCTTGAATAGATGAATGAATTAATTAATAGATAAGTAAATTAAATGACTATCTAATCAGTTAATTTACAAAATACGTACCCAAATACATTTTACTAACAAGACCTTAGCTAAACACGTTTAGCATTGAAACTACTACAATACACGATGCCAAAAAGCATCAAATGACACGAAAATATCCCTCACCTTTTTAAATCCTCCTGCCTCTTTGACTAGACTGTAGAAACGATACATGTCCAGTTGCTTTCTTTCATATCTAATGCATCTTTCTTTTGCATCCAAACGAATCATATCTGCATGCTGACTAAATTGCAATTTGAACAATCTTTTCAACTACAAAAAATGTTCGTCTTTTTCATAATTAATCTTGTGACAATTATATATAAAAAAGAGCCCACTATTCGCAAATTGCTTTATTTCCTAATTTATGATCAAGGTTAGAGGCAGTGATGTAGCCAGAAGGTAATGCACATGTACACTAATACCTGTGTGTGTTTGCCCCCGTCTCTTCCAGTTCATGGATTGTCTATATAATTAAGATCAACGTATATACAGTAAGAGAATGCCTAACATTTATCGGGAAGCAGTTATTTTGGATCAGTAATCTTGTGATTTTGCACTGAATGTAAATATACACGGAAAAACAAAATCTGCAGTAAGGAACCTTTAATCTTTGAGTTCTGACGTTGAAAAATTGTTCAACTTTTTAGAAAAGATACCTTCATTTCATCTTCAGACTTCAAAAGTGGCTGTCCACAAAGCAAGGACTCTATTTTGCTATTCAACTGTTCTGCTTGTGACTCTATCTTGTCAACATGGGACGTACTTTCGATTGGAGATTCCTGAACCAACCAAGGCCTATCTCTCTCATAGGTTTGATCTTTCACAACTTCTTGTTCACATCTTTCTTGTTGCCCTTTGACCTGGCGTTGCTCACCAGCATTTAATATTGATTCCTCATTTTTGCACTTTGATTTATCACCTTTGCATTTTGATCCTGCACTTTTGATCTCTTTGAGCTTTGAAGAAACATCATTTGTTGTCTTTGCCTGGGTTCCTTCTGACATGTATTTACATACCCGAACTGTGTCCTGGTTGCACTGGTTTGCAACGAATGGACTTTCTTCGAAACTAGATAACTGTTTGGGAGGGACAGTATAATTAGTCTTCAGTGCATCGTCCACTTGACATTTCCTTTTCACACTTTTCTTAACAAAGCTCTCATTTATGTTTGTTGCAGATTTCTGGTAACTTATTCCATTTGAAAACGTTTTGTCATTGTTAGATGGGACTTTGCACTGAATTTGTCCCAGATTATCACTACCGGTCAGTTTAACTTTATCAACTGGTAAAATTGCTGGTACGACAACACCGTTTATATTTAGCAAGCAAATTCCAGTTTGTGAGAAATTCTCTGCAACAGCTGTGCCCCTTTCAATTGAAGTGATAAAGGCAGTGTTAGTTGTAGTAACCGCATCAGCTTGCAATTTAGTACATTGCTTCATAGCTTTGTCAGAGAGTTCTGTATGAATAACACCATCTTGATTAGGTTTTTTCGTATTCACATTCTCCTTACTTTGCACCCTACATGTTTGTCTTTTTCTTCCCCTGACGGCTGGTGATGACGTGCTACCATATCCTTTTCGCAAATCTGAGGCCAGCCCTTCAGCTTTAGGCCTTCTTCCTCTTTTTCGTTTTTGCTTTACATTTATAGCTGCACCATATGCAGGGACAGATGACAAATTAAGCTCACGTTTTGTTCCACTAGCTTTGGGGTTTGAAAAATGTATCTCTTCTGCATACGTTTCGCTATTTCTTAAAGGTTCTGCGATATAAGAACAAAAAGTTATGCATGGAGTACCTAAAGGCTGGAGAATAAATGTCAAGAAAACATTCCAACGAACGAAACCGAGTACATGAATTGATACTGGCTTGAAGAAAGAGAAAAATAAAGCAAAGAGCACTGGTCACTGAAAGTATCTGATGCAAATGCACTTAAATTTTCGGTTGTTACCTTTCGACTGGACATCAGTTGAATGAAAAACACAGTGGCTGAGTCTCTCTGCTGGTGACAGGGATGTGAGTTTATCAGCTTGCAGTACTGCCTTTTGAAAAGACTTTCTTGAACGGGCTGTGGTCATGGCTTTGTGAGTAACGATTAATACTGGAGAGGGTGCATTGCCGGAGCCGTACACTTCGACGTGCTTTGCAAGAACCCAAGAGTGAGTCCTTGGATCGCCAAAATACTCAACGTGGTAGTATTTGACATCGCCTTCAATGTCGAACCATGCATAGTTATCAGGCGTTATGTCGCTGCAAATAATAGCTGGCCACCTATAAGTAAAGGTTACATGCACGCTTGCAATAAGAAAAAACACATGCATCATTGAATTTAGTACAGCATCTAGTTACTGTACATGGTTTCAATGTAAGATCGTGTTATACTTAGATTATATCATGGATGGCATGAAACTATGCAATTCAGCCTACATTGTTATACAATATATGGCTACTTTATTAGGCTAGATTATTCGGTCATCTAGAATGTATTCAGTGTGAAATAAGATGACAAATGTCATGTCATGTCATGTCATGTCACAGTAACATCGTGAAATCTCATGTCATACCTCTTGTCACGTCCGTGGTAGATTATATTACATTGTTCTAGGTTAGCTTTTTCCAAATTTGCTAAAGTTTGATGCAGTCTTGAAAATTGCACTGAAACACTAAATCTTATAATCAATGAATAAATTAGTTTGAAGTTCGCTTGGGCATACCGGGGGTAGCCAGAAAGCTTAACCCACACAAGGCATCCTTCTTCAAGAAGGCTAAAAACGAATATTTCGCCTTTAGCAGCTTTAATTGCTTCCTGCTCGACATCGCACTTTGCGAATTTTTTGTCAGGGTTCATATGGCAGAACCAATTCACGTCCTCTATTGATTTTGCCTGCGTTTTTGAAACTTTTCTCCATTTCATGCATTTCGGATCTTCACATTGAACCCAAGTAACATCTGATGTAGGCTCCATGAGTTATAACATTGTCTGTTAAATGCAAAGCAGTGAGGCAGTTTTCCCTGCATATAAAAGGTACAAATTTACTTCAGCGCTAGGAATTAAAATTTAAGGTCAAACTCAAATGTGGTTTTATTGCTATACCTATTTTGAATGCTACTTCAAAGATATGTACCATTGCTTTTGAAACAAACTATACCTTCCAACACTTTGGATGTGAAGATCCAGGTCCTTTAGCCAAGAGTTATTTTAATATTTGCATTTTATGACAGCTCCTTATACAAAGTTTGATATAGAAAATAACTTGAAGTTTCTTATCGATATTGTTATATCACGTGTACACAGGAGTTTCGCGCCAATTGAATTTTGCTCGTCCCAGGCCTCACCAATGTGGCACATCGGTTTCAAAACTGACGACTCAGACGACTTAACACTGTTGGGAAAGGGCAGCCTCTATATTAATTGAAAATCTGGCAAAATCTGTAAAACGACTTAAGACAACATTTGAAATATTTTTTACAAGACGACACTTTATAAGAACACCGAAGCTCCATTTTCCGTAATACATACAGTGTAAGGAGATATTCAGCCTCAAATGCACAATGGGTAGAAAAAATGCGTTTTGGAAAATTTTCTATCATGATAACAAAACAGAGCAGAGCTTATCATCTAATTAATCGTGTTATTAAAAATGTCTAGTTAATAAATGGCTGCTAAGATTAAACGACCTAGGCATAAAGCCAGATAGGGACAAGTCACAACATGTCATCAGATACGTTCAATGACGTCGCCATTTTTTATCTATTTAGAAAATTTTTGGACAAGCAACTTTCTCAAGCACATTTTCTGTAACGGTGGTTTTTTTGCAAGTGCGAAAATCGAAATCGATCTGATCAGCCCAACTCCAAACCCCTCCCCCTCCCAAAGGTTTCTCAACAGATATCGAGCAATTAGAAAAAGTTACAATGTAATTTGTCATTGCAAATTGATCATTGACTCATTTTTCAGATAGGTCATATATGCAAAGTAAACGAGCTTTGTGAAAAGAACAATTTTAGTAGGTAAATTTTCAATAAAACTCAGGCCAAAGCAAAAATATTAGATATTAGGCTTTTCTAGATAAAATTCTATTTGTCCCCTATGTATCCGTTGCAAGCCTTATCTAAAAAAGGAAGATTGAAATATCTGGTGAGGAAATCAGTAAGTTAGGTGCCTATAAGCTGGGTAACTGCCTTAAACGCAGCACTGTACGTTACTGTCGCTACGATAAGTGGCGGGCTAGCCCATTTGCCCATCGGCCCGTGGCCTTTAAAATCTGGCAAAAAGGGCCCCATCTTTGCAGAAAAAGGTGGCCTATTACGAATAATAGATATCATGGATTACATCAAAACTGAGGTTGAAAATAGCGTCATAGCATGTGGTTGAAGAAAGGATAGGGTCGAAGTTAAAGAAATATGACTTTTGTTGGTTATGGGAGGTTAATAGAGGTTTGGAATTTTTAATATGATGGCTACTTTATTGGGCTTGATTTTCTGGAATTTTTTATTTTCCATAGACACAGGTTCAGTTAATCTGCACGCAAGGATTAATTTAAGGTGCAGTGATGACCAATTTGTGCAGTGATGAATCGAAAATGTGCAGTGATGAATCGAAAAATGTGCAGTGATGAATTACTTCACTTTTGAAATACTCCAAATACTACTGATTTGGATGTTTTTAGAATAAAGATAAATGAATACAAACTATAATCAAGAGTCAAATGAGATAATAGAATCAACCTACGTGTGAAACTCAACAAAAGCCAGCTTTAACAATAAAATAATATACAGTTAATCACAAACGCACTTCATAATGCAAAAAGTGTTTTTTAAAAAAATAGAAATAATACTGGGAAAAAAAAGATAAAGAGAATAGTGCGATAAATCCTGTTATTGCCAAGATTCCAAGGAATGAGCCGAGGTCTCTAAGGGGTCTTATAAAGTATGTTAACTTAAAAATTATGTAAATTTTAAGACTGGAATTGATCAAATGTAATAGAAGCATGCCTTGAAAAAAAACAAAATGTTTAAAATGATTGCAAGAAAATAAGTGCTAGAAATATTCTGAAATATATTTTAAGATAATCTAAAGGGTGTGGTCACAAAATTTTCTGCTCGCTCCGCTCGCAGGTAAGCTTCCTCTGTCAGATAATCCTAGGGCCTCCGACAACTTTGGATTTCTTGCATTACATGGCCAAAAAGACCCAATGCCGCTACCACCATTAAATGGTGGCCTGCTTCTCTTCTTTTGTATGAAATACAATACGCCAAAATAATTGGAGTGAATACCATTTCTATCTTTGTTTTATATTTAGATAATAATTTTTTTTGGTTTGGGTATCCATAACGCTAGCCAGGTATAGTTTTGAAAGATTAGTAGCAGTTGCGGATTTGTATTATATAAACAAACATCATATTACATAAAAAGTAAGTAATATACAGTAAGGCTGTGCTATGGACTGTTCTTAGAACATTGAAATATGTAACATGATTAGAGATCAAGTGTCTGAAAACAGCATTTTATGAAAAGAAACAGCTAGAAACAGTTGATTTGCCTTTTAAGGATCAATCAATAACTTACAAACACAGTAATTGCATTCCACTCCATTTCCACCATTCACAAATAAATACTATATTGACTCCATAGGGTGGAAATTAAGAATAAATTACCTGTTATTAGGTTTGCTACTCTGTTTTCTTTTGGCCAGGTTTGATTTGTTCTGGTAAGATATATACATAATAAATGGTAGCTGTAGTTAGGCCAAATTACACTGAAAATGTCCCTAAAAACAATGTAAACATTGTTGGTCCGTCCAAAAGAGGTCCAATCAAAACCTAGCCACGCCCTTCACCACACCCTATTGGCCCCGAAAATCTGTGTTTTTCGCTGTTTTGTGCAGTGATAAAAATTCCTTAAATTAATGCCTGTCTGCACGGCACGCTTGCCAGTTATCAAAAAAGTAAGCAGTGATTCAGTAACAAACTCGGCTTTAACTTTTTCTTTTACTCAAGCAATAGCATTAAGATGATGCGATGCGAATAATATTTCAACGGGGGTTGTACCCTGGGTACCAGACTCACTCTATATACCAGGATACGGGGATTGCTGCATCATCTTAGAGATCCGTCTACTGAATAATCTAGTTTTTTGCTTGGGCTGGACTGTATAATATGAAACATAAACTGGTAAAGATATTGCCTCATGGAATGAAAAATTGACATAAATAAGATGTCAAGAAAATAACAAGAATTAACCAAAATGCACATTATTGATGAATAAACTTCGAGTCACAAGAGGTTCTCAGTAAGGAAGGCAAAGTTGATGCAAAAAGGGGACATAAATGATCACTGGTTTCTTGGAAAGCGAAAGAGGGAATGTAACTTCTGATAGCATTTAATTGAAGTTGTTTTCGAAATGATAAGCCTAAACGTTTTGTGAAAAATATAGTTTATAAGCACGTATTAAGTCTAAAATACAGATAGCAAACTAATTTTGCTGATGACAACCAAAGTTTAAAGGGAACCTTCTTTCTATGGTTTAGCTATAATATCACGATTAAGAAGTCAAATTTTCCTTTATAGAAAGTGAATTTGATGAAAGCATCTTCAACTGGTCCAATCTGTTGCTACAGAATATCTAATAATAACAATTTTTCTAAACATCTCATTTTCATTGAATACATTTTAAATTTACAATTTTAAGACTCGCTTTTACAGGCATCATATAATTGGCTTATCTGCATTACAATATTTAAAAGTCAATTAGTTCGGGGCTTAGCCATGGTTTGTTTCGACGACAGAAGATATAGTAGGTGCAGCGGATAGAAATGTTCATGAGTTTCATCAAGATGGATTTAGTTTGATTTGGGTCAAAATTGAGTTGATGTGGCCAGGGGCGTAGCATGCGGGGGCGTGTGGGGGTGTACAACCTCCCAACTTTCAGAGAACTTGTCGGTAGAATTAAATTTGTAGCAAAATATTAATGTAACAAAAGAATTTCTGTCGGTAAAATATGGTTTTGCACCTCTTACACCCCCCAGCGAGAATGGTCACGCGACGCCACTGGATGTAGCATGTCGAAGAGAGAGGTAGATGAGGTTCCCAGAATGCCAAGGACACTCATAGAAAGGTTAACAAAGGTAACACGTTTAAAGGCAGGGCTCAGTTCCTTGATAAGATCGCTATATTTCCTAGCTTTTCGAGTACTGTTTTCGTCGATGTTGCTTTCGAACCCAACAGTAAGCTCTAGCATGTAAAGGATTCGATCTTCAGTTACGAAGACAAGATCTGGTGGATAGGAGTCGCCTGTGATTAAAGAAGGTGATAGAAATGAAGGCAGGTCGGCGTAAAGTGAGCTGTTTCTAGGTGTTAAAAGAGTTTTGGCAAATAGAGAAGTAGAGAATCATGTCTCCAGGTATACCTACCATGTTCAAGGTAATTCTTGCAGCTAGAGACCATATGCTGTAATGATTCTGATTAGAGACAGCAAGAGCAGGCAGATGACTGATAATAATAATGGAAACATTTCATTTTCAATTCAACTTAAACTACAACTACAAATCTCACTATTACAAGGTAATTTGCAATTGGCTAGCCTGGTTTTACAAGAAAAAACTATAACAATCATAAGGTAAAAGGAAAAACTGAGAAAAATAAAATAAAAAAAAACTAAAGTTAAAAAGGATGTAATTCCGGATTTGTCCATGGCTTATTTTTGCAACAAAATATGTAGTACGTAGTACGGATGGCAATGTTGGAAAGTTTAGAAATGAGATACTGTTTTTGTTGCTGATCGATGGAGAGAGAGTCACACATTTTGAAGAATGAATTGCAGGAATTGCCGAAGATGCCAAGAGAGCTCATAGAGAGATTAACAAAGGAGACACATTTGAACTGCCGCTGTAAACCAGATAAGAGAGGAGCATACTTGCTGTGTTTTCTTGTAGCATTTGTCTCAAGATTGGATTCGAAGCCAACAGTTAGCTCTAAAATGTAAAGGTAATTGTTGTTAGTCCTCAAGAGAAGATCAGGGCGAAGGTTTTCTCCAGTTATGATTGATGGTGAAAGATAGCCAGGTATATCAGCGTAGATGGTAGATTCATTGACAGCTTTTAGTGACGTAGCTAGAAAGTTTAGGATAGAGTTATGTCGCCAGGTGTATCGGCCTTGTTCCAGATATGTTTTGCAGCCAGCAACAACATGAAGGAGGGTTTCTGGCAGAAAACAGAAAGAACAGTCAGAGGTCTGGCTCAAGTTCCATTTTTTCAGGTTTTTCTGTGTGGCAAGGGTAGTGTTCAGGTACCTTATGGTGAAATTGAAAATTTTCTGAGGCATGCTACTTTGCACCTTGGACCAAAGTTTGTTTATTTGTGGAAGATTCTGGTTAAAGAGATGTGATAATAAAGATCCTTGGGAGGCTAGGATGTTTTGCAGACGATCTTTATGCTCATGCTGGACAGCCTTTAATGCTTCTTTGGTGTTCCTATATATATCATATTGTATATTTGTGCCACTGCTGGTATTTTTCCATAAAGAGCGAATGTTATCGTTTGGTGAAGATTTCAATGCGTTTCGTAAAACTGTTTGACACTGTAGGAATTTGGTGGATGGTAAAGTTAGGCTGAGTCCAAACTGGTTTTTAGAAAGAATAATGCTACTCAAGGTAGCACTTATTGGGAGGTCGAGCCACTGGCGGATGTATTTGGATACAAGGTTGTCAAGATTCTCGACAACCCACGTCTTTGAAAGATCTGCTACAGTAAGGTTCCAGGAAATTTTAGAAAGAACGAAGTTGTGATAAAGACGTAGCTTATTTTTTGCATGAAGAGGCTGGGAATCGATTTGTTTAAG